GCAGTACTGGCATCATAATTCACTGCTGGCTCAAATTCCTTATCTCAAGCAATCCTCCTGCCTCAGCCTCCCAAATAGTTGAGACTACAGGTGTGCACTACCACACCCGGCTAATTTTTTTATTTTTTTGTAGAGATGGGGTTTCTCTATGTTGCCCAGGCTGTTCTCAAAATTCTGGCTTCAAGCGATTCTCCCTCCTTGACCTCCCAAAGTGCTGGGATTACAGATGTGGGCTACCGTGACCGGACTCTATAACCTATACATATATAGGTGTGGGGTATATATGATATATATGTGTGTGTGTGTGTGTGTGTGTGTGTGTGTATGTATATGCATACAGTCTCTCACAAATATGGGGTGAATAAACACATTGAAATCTAGATCTAGGTTGGTACTTAATAAATGCCTGTGGAATGATAGAACTATTTAATAAATGAGAGTACAAGAAGTGAAACAAAGCTACAAATGTGTTTCATGTAGTTATATGGCACTTATGCCACCAGTGGAGCCAGGACATCTCCACAGACTTGCTTCCCAAGTCCTGCTAGCTTGCCATTATTATATCAGTAAAGCTTTCTCAGTGGTAGGTGGGAAGCCAGTGAGGAGGTCTTTGCCGCAGGGTGATGGTATTTAACAAAGGAAAGCACATTTTCATTTTGTGTTAGAGCTTTTGACCTGGTTTACAATTTCAAGTACAGGAGCAAGAGTTTTTAGGTCTCATTATATATTTGACAATTTAGGGCACAGAAAACGTAGGCAGGTTGCAGAATGAACTGAAGTCTGCGTAGGTGGTACTCGTGGTGCTTGTGTGTTGACCCCCACTTGCACTAGGTACTTACTCTCAACCCAAAATAGAAACTAAAGAAAGCATTGAAAGTCAAATCAATAGGAATGGTTTTGTCTTCATACGATGAACAGCTTCCAACAGGGCTGGAAAAAGAAACAAGGACAGTTTGTAAAGATGAACATTTTAAAAGCAGTCTCTATGTTGGACCAAATAAAGGGAAAGAGGAGGCTATTTTCTATTTATTCACCATGAATCAGACACCTAAGTTCAGATCTCAAAGAAATTACTTTTCCTTGGGAGCAGAGGAATGCATGAACAAAACCACTGAGCTGCCCATTGAGCTGAAAATAACAGAAAAATTACTCACTGTTTCTTTCATCGGGTTTATTGGTTCTATTTCCATTTTATCAGTGGGAATTGAGAGCCACAGAGATTATGTGGCTCTTCTTGGTTTGCAAGACCCCCTATCTTGTTGGAATACTTTGTCTTCTGTACCCTTCTAATATAGAGATACTCTAGGTCAAATGGACTGATTTGAACCAAATTCAAAGAAAATTTCCTAAAAGATCTGTTAGGAATTTACAGAGCAAAGATTACCAGTTTCTCTAGGTCCTCAAAAATTGCCTGGCTGATGTGGCCCTGCAATCCCAATTTTATTTCAGCTGGAAATTCAATATAATTCCCAGATGATTGGCATGGAATTCAGATTAGACTGGGTTTTGTCCAAAAAAGGTGCCCTGACGCTGTGATGTAGGAAGGGAATGCCTTCAGAGGAGAGTTTCTTTATCACATGTGAGGTCTACCATTTTCCTTTCTCAGGACCGTCCGAAGTTGTTTGCAACTTATGAGAAACCCTGAAACTATGACAGAACTTCTGGGTCAGCACCTAAGGGATCCAAAGGGCTGCAAAGCCTTCCTAAGTGGCCCAAGGCAGGAGAGGACAGCTGGAGGCCTGGAGCCCCGGAGACTGCAGAGTCGATGTGTACACAGCATCCCCAGCCCCTAGCAACGCGGGTGCCAGGATGCAGGGGAAATTCTTGCATAGTTGGCAGAGCTGGTCTTAGTGTTTATTGGGGGGAACTAAACACTTACCATTTTTTATGAACTCGTGTGTGTGTGTGTGTGTGTGTGTGTGTGTGTGTTTGTGTGCACTCACAATCACGCATATGTATGTGCCTGTGTGTGCGTGAAAGTATACTAAGTACATGAAGCATTATCCCTGAGGAGATAATTCCAAATTAGCCGAGCAACTTACTGACACAGCAGACCAGAGAGCCCGGAGATTTTACTCACTCATTAGAGTTGATGAAATAGATTATAAGAGACCCGATGCTCAGGACAAAGACAAGGATCACCTAAAAAGAAAGAACAGGGACAAATCCATTTTATTGACGTGGAACCAATAAACCAATAAAATTGTGTTTTCTCTTTTTACCCTGCCTATGTATGAGTAGCCATGTATTCACATATTCATTTGTAAGCATTCATTCATTCATTCAAGAAAACTTGATTTGACCTTTATTCATGTTCATTCAGTGAATGAACATGTACCCGTTTTACTTACTTAATTTTAACTCTCATGCACTTCAGGCTAAGAAGTCTGTTCTTCTTGCTGATTTTAGAGCTTTATGATATGTCTCAATATGTCCTGCCATTTATTCATTCATTCACTCATCAAACATTTATTAAGTGCTTAATAGGTGTTACATAATTTATTACATGCTAGAAAACAAGGCTAATGGAAATGGACCCTGGACTTTGCCCGAGATATCGTAGAAGAAACAGTCCTAAACATGTCTGCCCTTAAGAATAGTCTGAGTTTTGATGGTAGGAAAAGTGCTACAAGTGAAAAGAAGAAAATGAGTGCTTTTAACACGCCAACACATCTGGTCTGTAAAACAGGAGGAACTTGCGGAATGTTGTCAGAAAACTGTTCATTCAAAGATCTTGATGGTTTTGAATGAAATCTTTGGAGACTTCATGACGGTTTAGGTCAACTTTAGGTAATTTAACATTCCTCCAATTGCCTCCAGTTTTCAAACCATCCAGTTTTTTAATACGTCCAGTCCAATGCAGTTCTAATAACAAAACTCTGAATTTTATTTACGATTAAATCTTCACTCTCTTCCAGCTCAGATGTTGCTTGGGTAAGGCTGTCTGTATTGAGAAATGTATCAGTTTCTTCTGTATGAGCCCTTTCTGGATTTTTATTCCTCGTTTCCCACTGACTAGGCTGCCTCTGGCCTCTCCAGGATTGACAGTCAGTGTCGGGGGGGATGAACAGAAAGGGGAGGTCAGAGCAGGAACTGTCCTGCTTGACTGGCATTAGATCCTGATGCTCACACCCTGGAGTGCTTAGAGCATGGAGGGTGTTTAACATCTACTTTCATGGGTGGTCTTGCTGCTTTCTAGAGACCCAATTGAATTCACATTCAAATTAAACAGGTATTTCTTTAATTCCTGTCATGACCCAAGTACTATTCTGTTCATCAGTGAACAATATATACAAAGATCCCTGTTGTCATGGAGCTGATAGCCTAGACAATAAATAAAGATAATTAATAGTAAATCATATGGTATGTTAGAAACTGAATACTAGGGCAATAAAGTGAAGCAAAGCAGAAGGGATCAGAAATGCAAGGGGGGCCGGGCGCCGTGGCTCACGCCTGTAAGCCTAGCACTTTGGGAGGCCGAGGCGGGCGGATTGTTTGAGCTCAGGAGTTTGAAACCAGCCTGAGCAAGAGCAAGATCCTGTCTCTACTAAAAATAGAAAGAAATTAATCGGACAACTAAAAATATATAGAAAATATTAGCCGGGCATGGTGAAGCATGCCTGTAGTCCCAGCTACTCAGGAGGCTGAGGCAGAAGGATTGCTTGAGCCCAGGAGTTTGAGGTTGCTGTGAGTGAGGCTGATGCCACGGTGCTCACTCTAGCCCGGGCAACAAAAGCGAGACTCTGTCTCAAAAAAAAAAAAAAAAAAAGAAAAAAAAGAAAAGAAAGAAATGCAAGGGGAAGGGGAAGTGGGGTAGAGTCTTGAGGATATTTAATTGCTAAATGTCTCATCTGTGGGTCTGTTGGTCTGGGTGAAGCCTGGGCTTTCTCTGGATGCTTATAATGCCTCTCTCAATACTCCTCACATTCCTATTTTCTGCTGGAGCCCTCATCCCTGCACAAGCTTCGGCTGGTTGTGGAAGGCTCTCCCATGTGACCCACATTGGGCCTGTGGATGCTCTTATGCATTTTTTGGCCCCCAAGTCACTGGAAAGACAGATTATATCCAGGGTGGCCATTCATCTGATGTAGAACAGCTAGCCCAACAGACTCTTGTCACAAACGAGCCAGAAATCTGTGCTCTGTGCTCCCAAAGTTCCAAGAGATGGAAATTGAAATTTCTGAATGGTCTCTCTTCAGCCCCTTTCCTTAGGCTTGAGATGACAGGAATGTACTCTCACCTCTGCCACAGCACAACTTGTCCCCAAACTGCTCTTCCATTTCCAATTTGCCCTAATTTACAAGTAATTGGGTAAGCGGCTAACAGCTTCAACTGATTTTCTTCCGACTGATTTGTAAGAGGCAGTGCTGGGTCTGGCTCTTACCGTAAGTTCCATTTCAACATCTAGGTTAAGTGTTGATGGAGATAGCACTAAGTTTGAGGGTCTCGTGCAGATATTCAGTTAGAAATGTAGCCTGAAGCTCAGGAAGGACATTGGGAATGAATATACATATATGCACATTATATATGCAATAGCAGCATGTTGATAATTATTAATAGTTTTCATGAAGTCTTCTTTTCTTGACATTCCATTATGTGTATTTTTTTTTCTTGTGCTAAATCCCACAAGAGATTCAAGTACGAATCATATTGACCGACTTCTGGGATGATGTTAGCATGCATGCCATATGTTTACAGCCCCCCAAACCATGTAAAAATGAACATAAATAAATGAATAAATACATAAATAAGAAAATTTTAGTTTTATTGAAACTAAAAACAATCCCAACCATGTACCACAAGCCCAAGGAATGTTATCCACAAATACTATACAACCAGCAGCAAAATACACTAAACCTAAACAAGGCACCAGGAGCTAACAGCTTGTGGATGCAGTTTAGGGAGTGAGTCAAGGGACGGGAGGTGACTCTGAGAAGACCTGGAGGTGCTCTCGGCTTGGAGGAGCAAAATCGGGAGGAGCTGGCTGTTTGGGGAAGAGCAGAAAGCCCCTCACCTGGACCACAGCTGTGTGGGTGGGAGATGGGGCCACAGCCAGAGCAGCCTGGAGGAGAAAGCTGGGGGACCAGCAGTGACAGGGAGGGACCTCTTGGCTAGTGGCTACACCTTTTTCTCAGAAACACCTTGAAAAACAGTCACAGAAGAAGAAACTGAAGGATCTGAGACCTCACCCAGACAGAGCCTTGTTGTTCAACTGCTGGCCACGGCATTACCCGCGTGTTTATCTTTATGGGGAAACACAGTAACTTGGGACTTTGATTTCTACAGTGGGACTTCCAAAACTCTGTTGAGTGAGTTGGTGGTTGTGGGTGTTTTCAGAACACGATGACTGATGCAGTAAATACGGACACCCTGAATGCTCCAAACCCCGTTTATGAATATTAGCAGATGATGGAAAAGTGCCAGTTATAGGAGAAGAGCAAGAAAACAGAAGGACCAGGCAGAGAAAATATGTGAAATGACCTCCCATGGAAGAGTTAACACAGAATATGCGACTAAACGTTCTAAAATTACATCTACAGGTCCTGGTGAGATTTGAGAGGACATTACGCCAATAAAATAAATGCAGTCTACAATAGAAGCTGCAGTGAAGGAGCAAGAGTAAGTTCTTGGGGCTGGAGGGAATGTGATTGACTAAGTTAGAATCTCAATAGAGGTCCTGAAAAGCAGAATGGACATTGATGAAAGTGAAAGAGAATAAAGGAATTCTCTGAGACCACTAAGCAAACAACAGAGATAAAAACTATGATGCAGCACAAATCACTATTGCAAAGATGCAGAAACAACCCAAGTGCCCCTCAATTCATGAGTGGATTATTAAAATTTGGTATATGTATACAACAGAATATTTTTCAAGCATAAGAAACGACAGTGATCTAGCACCTCTTATATTTTCCTGGATTGAACTTGAGCCCGTTATCCAAAGTGAGGTATCACAAGATCAGAAGAATGGGCTCCACTTGTACTCACCATCAAATTGGTACTAACTGATGAACACTAGGGTGCTCACATGGCAGTAATATTCTCCAGGGATTAGGGGAATGGGGGGGTAAGCCCACAACTAAAGGACACAGGGAGCATTGTAGAGGGGAAGGGCATGCCTCTAACCTTGCTTGGGTGAGGCAAAGACATAAAATGTAACCATAATGTTTGTACCCTCATAATACCCTGAAATAAAAAAACAAAAACAAAACAAAACAAAAAACTATGGTACAAAAGGGCATGGAGGTTAAATGCAAGACATACAACTATAATGTGCAGTTTAGAATGACAAAACAAGCATTTTACAAAAGAATTATCAGGGAAAGAAAATAGCAAAAAATACTTTCCTGAACTTAAAACTGACCTGAGTCTAGATGGAAAAGGCTCACCAGTTGTCAGGCAGGAAATGTTGGAAGAGGACACACATGCAGGTACATGATGGTGAAATTTCAGATATTGAAAAGATAGTCTATATTCTTCTACATTGGAAAATATATATATAGGTTATTTACAAACTAAAGGGAATAAGACTGACTTTGTAACTCTCATTTCTGATCTGTATCAATTAGGATCCAGCAGGGAAGGTAGAAATCACATCAGCCATTTTACGAGAGAATTTAATTTTGAGAATCTAGGGGATGGGTATATTCACATCTAACGGGTGCAGTGTGCACTGTCTGGGGGATGGGCACACGTGTGGCTCTGACATGGGCTGTGCAAAGGCAATATATGTAACCTAAATGTTTGTATCCCTGTAATATTCTGAAATTTTTTTAAAAAGTACTTTTCTGCAACGATAATTCTTCCCTTTTGTAACAGTAGATATTCTTTTGTGATCAACATCTTTCCATGATCGATTTTAATTTATATTTTGTAAATAAAGTTCATGTTGATGGCAAAAAGAAAAGAATCTGTTAAGTAGGATTGGAGGATCAAAAAGGCAAGAAAGGAGTATGGGGGTAACACACAGTTAAAAACTGCAAGCTTTTGAGGGATCAACAAAAAAAGTAGAAATGACCCAAATTTAGTGGTTTAAAAGAGGTACCTTTTGGAGTTGTGATTCTGAGATAGGAGGAGGGGTCCCAGCATGGCTGATCACTATACCTCTGAGGAGATGCTGAAACCTGGTTCCAGCAATGTTG